GCACTTAATCTATAGAAAAAGTAAGAAAATATTTTGTTTAAAATCTTAATTACAAGTGGAAACCCATCGATGCCTGAGACATGTATTGCATTTCAGATGGCAACACCAAATAAACTGGCAATCGCACTGATATGATATCAGTTCATGTGATACCTGTAATAATACTCTCTAAAGTGAATTCTTACACTGACCTTCAATATCTTAGTGTTAATTATAATATCAAAAAACTCATCACTAATTATATTATGCGGAAGTTTACCTGAATTAGACTGCAAAGCAGTTTCCAAAAAGCATAACAAATAATCTATTTTGTTACTTTAAAAAATACAGTAGCACGTGCACGATTCAAAAAATCATCATTTACAATTTATTCATTTCACGTAATTTTCTTGTGAATACTTTTAAAAATTGCACGAATACTTATATAGTTTATAACTTATAAAAATTACTTACTTTATATTCTCGTCCACAGCAAAGTAAACCACAGTCTCCCTGACTATTTGTCTCATTTCTCCAATTGCAAACTCTATTAGTTATTCGGGTGGTACGACAGGGGTCAGGACTATCTTCCATATATACTAATTCTGCATTTTTTGCAGGAGAATTAATATCTGGAAGTCTTCTAGCCTGTAATTATAAAATTATATTAATAGAAGCTAAAAATATTAGACAAAAAAAAATTTAATAAATATATTATTCAAATTTTACTCACAATAATATTATTTGCATAAAAAATTACAGATTTTTAAAATAATATTAAACCTTATTTAGTTTATTAGTAATGTGTTGTACAATGGTAGACAAAGGAGCAGTCTTCTTCCAACACGTTTTCTGATCGCAACTTCCACTAACGCCATGACATTTGCAAGATGAGATTAAAGTTTTCTTAACAGCCTGAAAGACTTTTAAATCAGTGATTTAGATATAAGGATAAAAGTATGATAGATGATCTGATTAGCAGAAAGTGAAACTTTTTGTCTTGATAATATTCAATTAAGACTAATTATTTTCAACTCTCTTGCAAATTTTTCAAGATTATAACTTATAATTTTACAGATTTATATTACTAGGGTTATTTTTTCAATTATTTTATTGACAAACAATATGAAAACTTTGTATTACTAAAAATTTTATTCTGTTATTAACATTTTCACATTCACAAATATTTACTGCTTTCATTTTATTTTCACATCAATGTGTTTGTTGAATAAATATGATATTAAAAGAAATACACTGAATTATTTTCATCAAGTACTAACTACATTTTTTATCAAAAAAGTAGTTGCCATCCTTTGAAACATAATAATATTAATGAAATATAATGAGCAATTATCTCACTTGTTAATTTACTGCTGCATTATTAATTTAATTAATCAACAAAATTGTCCTAAAATAATAACAATAAAAATGTTTCTGCTGGACATGAACATGGTTTTTTGCTAATACATTTATTTGAAATTAAACAAAGTGGATATATTTGTAAGTCTGACCAATCTTCCAGCCTTTAAGTTGTGCTTTTCTAATTTTCTTATTGGAGATCGAGAAATGGCACTTTTTGTAAGTAATTTTCGAGAGGTTACTATTCCAAACTGTACTCCGTACGAGCACCCGCCCCATTCCCAATTTTGCTTCAGTTCATCTCGACCACTACACGAGCAGTCCGGTAACCATCCTTGAGAACACGCTGTAGCAACACCCCATGCAGCACCTGCAGAAGAAAGCGCCCATAAGTATGCTGACTCTCGAGTTCCTGTAACAGAATGCACTGATATTAATCATCTTTCATACAAAGAAATCTTGCATAAAACATTTGTCAAACTTTTTTTCCACCATAAAAAGCAAATAAAACAATATCAAAGTTTATATAAACCTATATTAAAAAATTTACCAAGGCGCAAAATAGATGGATCTTGCAATACAGTAATAATTTGTGAACAATCCCAAGGCTGAAAGCGCATTTGTTCCTTACATTGGCTCATAGCATCTTGCATCCCTTCGTAAGCTGCTACTGCAATAGCTGGTTGGCTACGGCACAACACGTGAAAGTGTCGATAAGAACGTAAATGAAGAAGTTCCGGTGAACAACCCTAAAGCTTACAGTATTCTTATCCAAGCATTGCCGTCAGTCAATAATAATTATTATATACTTCACAATTGCTACAACAAAGCTTTGTTTTTGTTTGCATAGATTTACTCTACATAAACTAATTTTGCATGTGTTGTAGAAGTGAGCAATATATTAAAATAATGATTATAAATTTAAAACCAACAAGCCAAAACAATGAATACCTGAGTTAACTTTTCAGGTGGTGTTGTTGGTAGACTATAAACTTTTTCTTGCAAAAGCACAATTGCACACAGAAAATAGCCATACATTAACAATACATACCGTTCAACTGAAACTTTTGCAAAAAACTCATTTATCTTACAAAATTTACAATAAAATTACAAACGAATAATGAATAATTATAAAATGAATTAGATGCAGTCACATCATAGAATGAATATATAACGTAAATATTTTGAGTACAGCATTGCGCATTTTAATTTGTTGAATAATTGTACTGTTTTATTCTAAAGTTGACTGTAATATAATCCCACTTTGACTGTACGTAAAATTGTTATTTTATACATTAGCTCAAATCTTAAGCATTTCTAAATTTCTTCCATTTTTAGATAATTGAAAACTGCAACAGAAGACTTTTATTAAAAATATCAAGATTGCATGGAATATTGCTTATCAGATTATATGATAATTACTTATCACTGTTATTATAAGTTTAGGAATAATGAATTAAAAATTATAAGTTATCAAAAATTATCAACTTTGATAATTACTGTTATTATAAGTTTAGGAATAATGAACTAATCTTGACTTTTAGAATCAACTATCAGTAGTTAAGAGAAATCAACGATGCGAAGACGAAAAATTGCTTTGAAATAAATAAAAAAATAAGAATTGCTCGGAACTCACTCAAATTTATATCCAATCGTTTCTTCACGTTGCACATTTTCTCGTTTTCTAAGTAAAATTTTGCTGTTACTATTATTGAAATTAGTATTGATATCAATATTATGATTTGTGAAAATAGAGAGGTAATAAAATGAATTTAAAATTGTTATTATAACTTTTATTGTTGTTAATGTTGTTGTTGACGCAGGTAATAACAGTAATAATATTAACTAATAAAATGATTCAAGGCAATATGTTGTAATAGCTGGTAGGTAGCAACAGAGCAAGTGTCACGAGTGGGTAGTATGAATTGAAATAACTTTCAACAAATGAAGTAAATTTTTACGTAAGTGAAATAAAAAATTCGAGAAGTGTACAGAAAATTTGAGAATATTTAAAATAATGTAATGCAGTAAGAAGAAGAGAAAGTAATATCCTTAGAAGGGATAAAAATATCTTCAGAAGAATTTTATTTTATTTTTTTCTTCTCAGTGCTTTAAGCAAACGAAGAAAAAGAATCAGAAGTGTAATCACACCTCAGCAATAATATGACAATTACATATGCTACTGAAGTAGTAGTTAGAACTGTAATTGCCCATTCAGTGTATTGTATTTTTGAAGAATGGTGAAAAGAAGACTAGAAGAATAAAATGTTTTTGTGAAGTTTCAAGTTTACGATTCAGAGCAAACCAAAGCTTTCAATATTTATGCAGTGGTAAAATTTTACAGTGATATAAAAATTGAATAAATATGAACACATACAAATTCTCTTTTATTACTTTATTTATTGAAATTATTTGTTCTTCTTTGAGCAATAATTTTTCTTGCGCTTTTTTATATTTTTGTTTTTACAGCTCTGATCCTTGTCAGAGAATAATAATAGAGGGAATGAGTTAGTAAGTAAGTAAGTCAGTATGTAAGTAAGTAAATGACTGACTGACTGACTGAATGAATGAATGAGTAAATAAATGGTGTCTTGAAAAATTAAAAAAATTTTTATGATGCAAATACAGTAATGAAATGGTCTTAAACGACCAATCCAATGTTAATTGCTCTTTTTAACTTTTTTATGCAAATTTATGAAAATTAAAGATGGATTGAATAGGTGAATAAGGTTACAAAAGTTGATCTTCTAAGTATATTTTTGATGGATGATTGATGGAAGTGTTGATTCAGATACATCCTGTGAATCAATGAGCAAACAGAAAAGCACAGATAGGACAGGTAGGTAATAACCAGCAAGAGAACGAAATAGGACGGAGTTGAACAAGACAGAGTAACAGCAACAATCCTTCCTATAACTTTTGCTTCCAATTTTCGAACACGCCTATTTTGCCTTCTTTCCCTCCTCCTTCTCCTTTACTAATTCCTTCTTTTTTTTTAACTTACTCTACTTTTCCATCTCATTTAAGTTAATCTAAGCTAGGCTAGTTTGATCTAAGCTAAATATTGACACATCCAATTTTTTCAAATTATCGTAGAATATTTTATTTGCATATAAATTATCCCATAAACTGTTACACACTCTAGCCTGTCTACAATGCTACCATTTCTCATACCGTATCTTTTCAATATTGTTGCATATTTTTAATGTGCGAATAACTATCAACGCTTAAGGCGGTGCTAATTCTGTTGTTTTTTACATTCTTATTTGGAATTTTTCTGCTTCTGTGTGTGTATACGATAAAGATTTGCATTTTCCTGAAGCTTAAATTCTAATCAACAATTTACAAATTACTCTTAAAAAATTATTACTTCTTGTAAAAATTTTCACAATTTTTTTTCACGTAAATATGTCTTTTTCACGCTTCATGATTCTTTGCATTGAATGCGTTATGCGAAATGTTTCTTTCTTCATTTTCTTTAATATTATTTACACGTGCAGCAAACGTTCGTGAATTGCAGTATTTTGCAAACTTTCTTTACTTGTCGTTTCAGTTAACTTTAACAGTTTCCGTGTGTAAAATGTGATTCTCATTAGCAAGCCGTCCCTGACTGATCAATCAGTCTGAGGAATCAGAATCACAGATGCCTCGATGATGTCGGACTTCACGAATAAAATCTTTACTTATTATCAAATTAGTTGCAAAACTATAACAATTTTTTAGTGTACTATAAGAATTTGCATCGAAATTAACCTCAAACTGTTGCTTTATTTTGAAAAAAAAATTCATTATTTTTGATAATTAATTGCATTTTCAGCATTATAAAATTGACTTACAATAAAGCAATTAAGCTTTTATTACAGAAAAATCCATTACTTTCAACCTTTTAGCTTCTATATTCCAAGAAATACTTATTTTTTACTTCATCAAAAATTTATAATTGCTTTCACTGTAGTGTCAAGCTGCAGAATAAAATATTTAGTATCAAAATACTATTTTCATTCCATTATAATTTACTGTTAAGCTTTCAGTTTTTATTGTCTAATTATATGCTTCAAATTTAAATGAATGATTCAGTAGTAAAAGTATTATGCACTAAAATCAGTAGAATGCAAGAGTTCAAAGGTTAAATAATATGGAAAGGTTTACGCAAACTTAGAAGGATAGTTATAAAAAATCTATTCTTGTAATTTTTACTTGAACAATCAATTTTTTTTTGAATATTAATATTAAATCAGTATTTGTTTTCGAGCATCATATTACCAGAAGACTAATTTTTCGTACGATGCTGAGTTTTTTTATCACGAATTGTCCAATTTCGAGTATCAATAAACCACAGTGGCACTACTCTGCAAGCAACAACACTTACGTTATACATTATAATGAAAAAAAAATTATGCATTCAAGAATGCAACCTTAATTATTCAAAAGTTATACGCTATAGTTTTAGTTTCAATTCTATTTGAAATTTTAAATTCATTTCTCAACGGACTTAATAAATTAGAGCGAAACTTCAGTAACTACCATTCGTTATAATTGGACATAATTAATAAATTAATTTTATAACAAGCTGAATTTATTAGGAGTGAATTGAATTTATTTCAAATTGATTACAGACATTATATTTCCTAGAGACTTTTATTTTTAAAAAGTTGCAAATTCAAGTGATTTCCTTTGTTTTATTTATCAGTAATCGTAACAATAATAACAGATATTTTTATTCAAAGACAAATAAATGCTCTAGCAGATAAAAGTTAAAAATTTGCAAAAAGAAACATAAATAAGCATCATACTTAAAGCTTTTCCATAAGGGTAAGGAAGGTATTATAATTTGCTTGCAAGAAATCTTCAGTTATATTAGCAAGTATTCAAAATTTTTTCAAGAATCATCTTGCAGAGAAAATGAATTTTTGTATTTTTTGAGAAAATAAAATTGAAAACGCACTTGTGACGCATACGGCGTTCTTTACGTGGTCTGAGACATGTGACACGCGAAGTCGGTAAACTATTTGAACGTCTAATTCGACGTGAACGTAAGAGCGATTGCATAATAGCATCACCAATGCTCTCAAATGGTATTACCTTTGCTTCACAATGTCGTTGTCGACAACTGCCAAAAGCCGAAACACAGTGACATTTAGTGCGCAATGCAACACGCTGTAAATTCTCATTACTGACTTATATTATACGTAAATTTTCGAGTAAATTCCAAATTACTTGAAAAAAAAACAACGTAAGTTGAAAGTTGCACTGTTATATACACAAATTACTTATCAAAAAATTGCAAATGTTTAAATTTTAGCAAAAATAATAAACGTAAACTTGCCGATCGTCCAACTGCAATGTTATGCAAATAAATTTGCGCGACTCTATCCGAGTACGAACATGCGAATTGACGATCAATCAAACGCCTTAAAAATTAGATCAATTTTATTTAGAGATCAAGAGTAACTATATGAATGAGGTTATTTGCCTCAAGAAAAATCTTTACTACATGTCTTAGCATAGCAAGCGTTAAGTATACAATTATTGATTAGTATACAATTATTAGTATACATTAAGTATACAATTGTTAAAGTTATTTAATCAAAATGTAAAAAAAAAAACGAATTTAAGCTTATAAATTGTTGAACTAAAAGAAGTAAAATTTTGTAGTCAGATAATAGTACTGAAGACATAATTCATAATACACGAGCAATGAGTGATTTTATATGACAAAAGATTGAATACTACTAGATTGTTTTGTATATTTGAATGAAATTATCAGAGCATTATGAATTAATTTACCATAACAGGGAATTTTTTGCTTTCATCTCGTACTTTTATGCAAAAAAAGGTTTGAAATTTAGAGCAACTAATATTTCGAGAGATATTCTCTTCTCAATTACAACTGAAAACATCAATAACGAAGTTTGTATTTATTAATAAATATGCATATATTATACTTTAGTAAAGATTGACTTTTTTGAAAATAAAAATTCACTGATTGCTAATTAATAATTTCTTAGCCATCACTGAGCAACATTAATCGCAGAGAGTATATATGATTATGAACTTTTGTTAATAATAATATATATGCATTTTGTGCATAATTTCATACCATATCTCACTTTCAAACTTTTTTAATAATTGAACTTTT